AGTTCATCTCGTGGTGCAGGGCATCGAAAAAGTTTACTTGAGTGCGGAAATGCATGTAGCAGCCGGACGGATGTTGTACGGCCGCGCAGCTGGTGCCCACGGGGATGTTAAAGTCTATGCCCGGATAAGGACTAACGCCGGCCGTCAATTCAAACTCATCCGTGTCCACTTCATTCAGTTTGTGCACCCTCTCGTCGTACATGAGCGCCAGTATGGGCAAGGACTCCAGCTGTTTCTTGATCTAATTATTACACATACAATTAGGAAACTAAAAAAAAAAATAAAATACTGCACGGATGGCTTACATAGTTCCGTTGTCCCCCTTTGGTTAGCGCCTGTCCCAGCTTGGCCAGATTCGTAAAGTCCAGGGGAAAGTTCTCCAACAGAGTTGTGTAGAGCGAGCGCGCCCCAGTATCTGCAAGCAAAAGGGTAATTTCAATAGTATCCAAAAACTCCAATGCGAATACGAACCTTCACGAGTGCAGAAATCCTTGGCCAGCTGCGGCCACGACAAGAGCTCGTATAGCAGCGTGTAAATTCCCTCGTAGCGGGCACAGCTGCCATCACCGTCGAAGAGGTCGCACAAGTACCCCACCTGGTTGTAGACGGTCTTGCGTACAATTCGTGACAGAAGACTGTCATCCGAGAACATCGGATGTGTGACAATCGAATGGAGCTCGACAAAACATTTAAGATCCACGGCGCGCTTGCCAAGGTGTCGGCATCGAAGCAAACTGGATGCATCATCGGCATCGTTGGTGCCTCGCAAACGCATTAACATCCAAGACAGAAGCAAGGGTCCATGCTCCTGGCGATGGTACACGCTGGTTATATCTACATCAAGGCAACCGACTAGTTTCTCAATGAGATCGCAGTTTTCGCGGGGCTCCTCGAAGTCCAAACACCTTAGAAGCAGCGCCATCTCCGAGTAGATGAGACTGCGCCTCAATTCCTGATGGAAGACATTACCCTCGTTCAGGCTTTTGAACGTGCGACCAAAAGAGTGCTGCTTGAAAACCGAAAAGAGCCTTTTGATCTGTTCCAACCCCATCGGCAAGTGCTCAGTCATCAGTAGGAGGATGTGCAGCACTTCTTTGGTCTCGCGAGAATTGCGCTCGGACCAGGCCTTCAGACTGTCGGTGGAGTAAAAGCATTCGCCTGCCGTCAGCTTTCGCGGTGGCTGCTCATCGATCAGACTCTCCAGCTGATCGAAGTACGAGTCCCGCAGGCGAGTCAGCGTTATCTTATCGACTACTTCGCGGTACTCCTTGTGGTAGGGGTGGTTGGGCACACTGTAGAAAACAAGCAGGTTCTTCACAATCTTCAGCACAATCATGCGTTCCAGCGAGTAGTAGTGTACTATATCCGCCAGCAGCTTGGCCATAGACGTCTCTGTGGAAATCAGCTGGGTCAGCAGACTGGCGGAGCCTCGGTACTCTTGCGTGAGATAGTAACACAATATCTCCCAGCATTGTGCCGACTCGATGTTGAGCAAGTCTTGTAGGCGCTCTGTGAACGACAGCAGTTTCTCCTGCTTCTTATCCCTCAAAAGTGCTTCCAGCTGGACATCTGATGCACTCTTCGGCTTAAACTGCAACACGCCGGCCTGCAGTTCACTGCACACACTCATCAGCTCCTCCCGCACTATGTCCCGGGGAGTTTCATGGTGGATGCCGGACACCATTTGCCAAAGGCGCTTCCAGTCTTTGCTGCAAGCGACAGTCTGGATTAATTGATTGTATCCGCCACTGAGGGTTATTAGAACTTACATGACATACTTTTCCACAATGGGCATTGTGTTTGATCTCGCTTAAAACTAAATTTTATAATTTAATAACAAAACACGCGCAATTTTGCACAGTGTGACCGCGGATTTAATATACGGTCTGACTCTCAGAAATATACCGAATATACCTTTCTAACTTCAAAATATACCGTTCATATACCGATGAAAAAAACGAACTTGGCCCCGCTTTATTTAAACGCTTGAATTAAACCGCCGAACAACATTTCCACGATATTCATATGAACTGGGCTAAAATTCGTGTGGAGTGTATTTCAATAACCACTTGTCGACAATCGGTCGTTCCATGAGCGTAAATCGTATTCCTAGATTTTGATATTCAGTTTAATGTTACTAGCTGAATAAGACGCTCAGCCCTGAACACATAAGTTTATTATACCCGATACTCAAAATGAGTATTGGGGTATATTAGATTTGTGGTAAAAGTGGATGTGTGCAACGTCCAGAAGGAATCCTTTCCGACCCCATAAAGTATATATATTCTTGATCAGCATCAATAGCCGATTCGATTGAGCCATGTCTGTCTGTCCGTCCCCTTCAGCGCCTAGTGCTCAAAGACTGTCACTGCTACAAGAATATTTCAAAACTTTGCCCCGCCCACTTCCGCCCCCACAAAGGGCGAAGAATCGTAGTAGATGCCTATATCTTCTAGAGTGCAAAATCTGAACCAGATCGTATAATTATTATAGCCAGAATCAAGAAAACAATTTCACTCTTTCTCGCTCTGTCTCTCTCTAACACACAGGTTTCATGGTCGGTTTTGCCTATTGCAAAATATGAGTTCAAGGATCTCAGAACCCATAAGAGCTAGAGCAACCAAATTTGGTATCCACACTCCTGTGATAGTGGACCTGACACCGTTTTGTGTCAAAATTTTGCCACACCCCCTTCCGCCCCCGCAAAGGACGAAAATCTGGGGCATCCACAAATCTGAGAGACTATTAACGCTAGAGTAACCAAATTTGGTATCCGCACTTCTGTAAGATCTCACTATAAAACGCTTATCTCAGAATTTCGCCCCACCACCTTCCGCCCCCACAAAGGACGAAAATCTGTTGGATCCACAATAGATTGCTATCAGATTGCTGAATCTGGATCAGATCAGATAATTTTTATAGCCAAAACCAACAAATCAATTTGCAGTGGCTACGGAGCGCCCGACGTCACGCACAGACTGATTTTCTGTCTCTCTCGCACGCACTGTTTGTCTTGTCGTTTAAACGAGTATACACTGTATGGTTAGTGGTTTAATATTAGCGGCGTCTGCCGGACGAGAGCCATACTGACTTAGTATCGGGTATAACCTTAGAGTTGCGGTGTCCGCAGCAACTCACAACGTTCCCCCTCGTTTTTTTTTCAAAATATATCCTTTTAGGTAAAGTATAAAAATGATTTTTTTATTTTTCTTTTGGTGCTTTAATTAATTAAGCGTCGTTTAAGTTGTATCATTTGTAAAAATATATGGATATACGGCTAGAATGTAGCCGTTTGACCAAACCTTCTGATGCGTCATTTTATCGTTTTACCGTCTACTTTAGTAGACTATTAGTATTATTATTCTTCCCTACATAAATTGAACACAAAAATCTCCCTGTAAAACCCGGTAGAATAATTACATTTACTGTTAATTGGAATTCAGTAGTTGTCATTTCAAACTCCCCTATGCCGCAGTAGATTTCAGGAACCAGTGATAAGCCTTTGCGCACATTCATAGATGAACTTAGGCACAATCCATTGTTCTGAGGAATACAATTTTTAGTTCAATGTTCAGTGATCATGTCACTTCTCACCCATAGTGGTTGCGTTAGATTAATATTGCAGGATAGCCTAAAAAAGGTATCTCCGGGATTCTTGTAAGCCACGGCAGTATAGTATAATCCGAACGGACCGCTATTGAGAGGATATTTAGGACTAAAAAGGTAGAATCGTTCTCCGAGAAAAATTCTTTGATGATACTCAAGAACTATCGGCCTTTGAGCTTTAATGTTCAGTGCTTGCTGAAGTATTAGAAGACCGCAAACGAATTGTTTAAGGCCACAAAACATTTTGTGCAGACTCGATATAACGACGCGAGAATTCAACTGAGGTGATGAGCCACTCACTCTCCCCATTTTATAGATGCATTTCAATTAGTATTTAAATACATCTATGCCAACATGAATTATTTTCATTTAAATAAAGAATGAGATTACATATGTATATGTATATGTATATGTATGCATAATTAACTCGCTTTATCACATGTTTGACTAAAACAAATACAAGAACATTTTAGTACTTATTAAGACTTAAAAAACATTCGAGTAAAGATTGTCTGCCTTTGTCAAAGCAAAGTTAAAACGAGCGGAAACGATGTGAGCTGCAGCCAGGGCCGCCCCTCTACATTTATACCCGGTACTCAGTCAGTATATCAGTGTGTCTGTATTCATTTTCTTTACATTTTTATACCCGATACTCAAAATGAGTACAGTTTGAAAACAGAAAGATATTAAAACGTAACGAAAAACGTTCTATATATGTACATATGTATTTAATATAGATTTATGGGAGAACAGACTTAACTGGTTTTTTAAGTTACTAAAAACAGAATAAAAGTTAACATGATGAAGGAACATTTTTCATTTCTCTGGATGACTGCAAAAGGGTAAGTTTCAGAAAATGTAGTACTTTTATACTTAACACATACATATAAACACATACATTTACATATATGTATATATGTATGTATGTATATGTATATAGCTTATTAAGAGCAAAGCAAAGAATCAAACTTCCCATGCAGCCGGACTAGAACAGAACTATTTACGTTAGACATTCCATCATAACAAAACAGGGAGGTGGCTGCAGCTTAAAGACCTGCCAAGGTGTGCAGAGTGCGCAGATGCTGAACCACCCACGACCCACCCACCCACAGCCCAGCGCTGGTCTAGATACTCGTGTGCCACACTATGCTGTTTCTCTAGCTGCAGCTTCCACACTCCACAGATCTGAGCTGGCGAGAGAGAGGACAAGCAGAAGCGAGAGAGAGACGGAGAGTAGGCGCAGGCGAATTTCCGAATTTTCTCCTGGAAGCTGCGGCCAGCAAAATGTCCTGTTAGTAACAGAAAACTATTGACAGGCATAAGGTCTAATCCGAAAGGCTGTCGTCTGAGAAAAAAGTCATATACCCACATGAGTGTACATTGAGTGTATCCGGGCATAGTGATACGGAAACCAAATCACCAATAAAATGGCTCAAATTCAATTGAATGGAGCCAATGTGCCAAGCAATGGAAATAGTAACATAGACGAAAATGAACGTAAGTCCTCAAACCATCCAGGTGCACCTGCAATCCATTGCAGATACGTATGTACATACAATACATATATGTACAATGTAAAACTATCATCTATGGCTCGAAACTTTCTTTCGAATTGTGTATGTGAAAGTGAAAAGGAGGAGAGGGACGGGTCTGTGCTGAGGCTGCGGCTGAGGCTGAGGCTATGATGTACTTAAGCCGCAGTACCATCAGCCAGAGCTAGAAGGCTATTCCCTTGCTAGGATGTGGGCTGGTGGTGGGTGGTAAGGTCGAAACGAGAAAGAGAGAAAGCAAACACTGGGAAGAAGAGAGAGAGCTCAGTGTGTGCGTGCTTGTGTGCCTGGAAGGTGAAGGATGCTGAGAGAGCGCCGGTGCTGCCATCTGGTTGCAAAAGCAACAAGTTTTTGTGGAGTCATTTGTTCATCTTTGGATTTCTGTTTCCGTTTCCGCTTTCAGCCTACCAAATCAGCGACACCGACTTGGATGAGCTGGACGATGAGTGCTTGCTGGAGGAGGCCGAGTTGCCGGGCAGCGCCAACAGCCTGGGACGTGGCCCGTACGAGCGTGCCTGGACCACAGATGCCACCCGCGCCCTGATCCACATACGCGGCCCCATGGAGGGAAACTTCACGGAGGGCAGGTATGTTTACACTCAGTCCAGCTATTGGCAATGTTCATTGTAATAATAGATTACGGGCATTACAGGCAGAAGCGAACAGCCCTCTGGCTGCACTGCACACGCCAATTGCAGCGACTAGGATTCCGCTACAGTGCCGCCAAAGTGCAGAAGAAGTGGCACAACATCCTTATCACGTACAACAAGAATCTGACCAAGAAGTATGTGTCTGGCTACGTCCACTGGGAGTTCTTTGAGGAGATGTTCAAGTACTTGCAAGGCAAGAAGGCCGACATGTCCCAGCAGTCCAATCCGGCAACACAGCCACAGCAGCCACAGGTCCAGCCACCAATCCAGCAGGAACAGCAGCAGCAACAGCAACAGCAGCAGACGTATCAGCAGCTGCAGCAGCAACCGCAACCGCAGTTACAAATGCAACTGCAACAGCCACCATCAGAGCTGGCAGCATTCCAGACAAAGCCCGGAACCCCAAAGATCACGTTGCAAATGCAGCCGCAGTTGAAGGAGGGACAGCCGTACATTACGCCGGTGGATCAGGTGCTGCTGCAGGACCAAATGAATATGGACAGCAAGTCCAACGACGAGTTCGACGAGGACAGCAGCAATAGTCTCTCCGAGGTCCGTCAACCGAAGCTCGAGTACGATGCGGATCAGGCTGCCGAGGCGGAGCGCACCAACGACAGCAGCCAGCAGCTGGAGACGACCAACGGAAAGATGTTCGAGATGACACAGCCGCATGTCCAGCCACTGACGGACGACGTCTGGTGGAGGGACTACTTCGAGCGCAAGCTCGACCTGGAGCGCGAGAAAATTGACCTGCAGCGGAGCCTGCAGCGGGAGCAGGTGCAGATCCAGAAGATGTCCATGGTGCAGCAGGAGCGTATCGAGCGGATGAAGATCGACGCCATAAACAGTCTGACGGGCACTCTGCAGAAGCTCGTGGAGGCCAAGTGCCGACGTGCTTAGATCTTTCTTCCTATCGTAGTTATATCTGTAATTTTGATGTGTAGCCTCCTTCTGAGTGTTTCAGGCGTTTCTGGTCATGTGTAAATACAATTTCGGCAAACTATCAAATTCGATCCATCTACTAGGTCATATTTCTGGGAAGAATAGTGATCGGTTCAGAATAGTGCTAGAGCTAACGATGGAAATAATTTAATTTGGCCATAAAAGCTGTAACATAACTCCAGTGCTATCTTATAGTTGTAGTAGTATTTGTATCTATAACTGCCAGTCCACCTCGAAAATACTGGCAATCGAACTCTGCTTTGGGTCGGGCTTCTGCAGACCATAGCTGAGGCGCCACAAGTCTGTGGAGAAGAGCAAACCCTCGCCTGCATCGAGGCGCATCATTAGACTGGGACACTGGCCGTCATCACAGGGCTCCTTGGGTCGGAGCTCCAGCTCAAAGTGTCCGCTTAACTGCTGAACAAAGACCAGGCCACGCACGTCGATCTCCGCCTGGGGGCGCCCCTGCTGGTGCGATATCAGCAGCCAGCTGGAGTAGTAGGGTTCCAGGTGCAAGGGATAGAAGTACGGTCGCTCTAGGAAGAGCCGCGACGCCTTCACCGCCCTCCACTGGCAGTTGCGCAGCTGGAGATGCCAGGCAGTCGATGGCTGGGCCTGGAGGGAGCGAATCTTCTGCAGAGCCGCATCTACGCTGAAGAGCTTTCGCAGCAGGAGATTACTGGACACGTCGCAGGCCTCGCTGGAGATCACCTCTGGCGCCTTGTCGTCCATGAGCCACAGCAGGCTATCCAGATCCGTTGTCAGATTGATATCGGTGACAATGACGGGTAGGCCGCGTTCCAGGAACTGCGACTCCAGCATTGAGTAGCTAACATTGGATGCGGTGGCTATGCCCTCTGCTTGGGAATTGGACAGATCAGACTTATATGGCATTTTCGATTCACCACTCACCCAGCGACTCGCATAGCACGCAGTTCTCCCACAGAGTCTCATGCCTTCCCAGAGCTGGAGCCTGCGTCACCACACGCTGCTCGCCACGCGGGATCAGGCACTTTCCATTGTAGTGTGGTGTCCAGTCCCAGAAGGGCAGCACATGCACCAGCAGTAGTCTCCCGAAAGCACTCGCCCACCAGGCGAAGGTGTCGCAGTACAACCAAAGCAAAAAAACCAAAAACAGTGGTAGCAAAAGGAGCAGCCATCGTTGGACTTTGGCCAAGCGTATCTGCCAGATCAGAGGTTGGCATATGGTGCGCATTTCCTTGGCACTAAACTCCTGTTTCCGGCAATCCCCAAAGAATTCGTGCAGCTCCTTCTCCATGTTCTTTACCCGCGCTCGGACGGAACTTGAATGAATCCGTCGCCCAGGAGCCCAACGGATAATGTGGTTCGCCTCGCACATGCGCGCGATAAGCAATTGCTTTGAGGAAATCTAATTTTCTAATTCAGTGCGCGCCCAGACGTGCAACATGGCGATAAGTGGCACAAAGGAAGGAGCAGAAGGTTGAGCTTTAAAATTTATTGGGTCGCGTGCCCTAACTCTGTTGGGGGAACATTAAGTGTCCTGCCTAATGATGCACTCCCTTAGGAGCTTTTAAATGGGTTCCTTGAGAGTCTAGGCCTTCTCGGATGAGAATGGTGGACCACCGCGAGGTGGCTTGCAGTTGATAAAGAATTCGCGCAAATCAGTGCACTCTTGGTCGTCGTTCCTGATGGAGTCGGGGCAGTTTTTCATCATATTCTTGAAGACACAGCCCATCAGGTGGCCGGCATCGTGGGCGCAGACGGGCATGCCCGGTGGCGGAGATGGGCGTGGACGCTCGGTACTCAACTTGGCCTCGAAATCGGCCACCTTTTCGGCACAGGTGACGAACGCCTGCGTGGCAACATTTTGGAGATCCGTGCTATCAGCGAACACCACATTGATGTAGCTCTCGAGCTTGGTCTCGTCCAAACGCCGGTTCTGATAGATGCCCGTCTCATTAAAGATGCACTCCATCAGGCACTAGAAGGTTAATGCGTTAATCAGTTCCATTACCCATGGATTACATTCGGTCCCAGAACCTTACCGGTGGGGGATGTGGATGGTGGTGACGACGTTTGCTCTCGAACGAACCGCTGGCATCAGTGGGCCTGGGTGGGGGTGTCGTGTCGAACGACTTGCACTTCTCCTTCAGCTCTGCAGTGATCAAGTCCGGCATGGGGCAGCATGTCTTCGGATCGACAAACTTGGGCCGCTTGCTGCAGTCCACATCTCCTAAAGCGGCTGCGTTCTGTTAATAGAGTTTGGAGCAGAGTAGAGCTGAGCACGTTAGCTGGTATTCATTCGCGTGTTAGCACTCGGCTGTGCAGTCATCATAGACATACCAGGCAGAACCCGACGACGACCAGTAAAAGCTGTGTTCTGGAGAGCATTTTGCGGTTTCGCAGCTTCAAACTACACTAAGCTTCAACCTAATGGAAGCCATGAATTTATAGAACATCCGGACGGACGATAGGAGAAAAAAACGATATGTTCATTTAATTCTGATTGATGGTTATAATTATGTGTGTATACCGCGATTCGTGTTCGTTGTGCAAGTCAATTAACCTTTTTATTTTTGCCAATTCTGAAATTGTTTTTTGTTGTCCGTAATTATTTCAATTGTCCAAAGTCAGCAAAGGGCTCTGTTTGTCCGATCGATCTCGCATTATTCACACTCCGCTATTAAATTCGACGGGAATTTCCTTGTAGACATTCCCGTGCCGTGCCGCATTGTGCCATCCGAAAGCTAAGATTATCGCTTGGTTTTGGCCATAGTTCGCGGGAACATGTCGGTCGTACATACGTTTCGATTAAAATAATTATCTTTGTTGTGAAATAAATTAAACCAATAATGAGATATAATGCGACAACAGCAAAAAATGGGTGCCAAAACCTAATGAGTAAACAAATTAAATGGGACTTTTTAGGCTCCATTATCTCGGTATGATTCATAGATCTGCACTGGCAGTAATCCGTTTTAATTTTCGCTTGCCACTTTTTATATAACATACAAGGACATGGTTCCTTTAACTAAACCACAACTGAGGACAATGGTATTCCATGTAATCTTCTGCTCATCCCCCCTCACTTTCCCACCAACTGCGCACAGGCAGCCTTGGCCGTGGGATATTTGAACTGGAAACCAGAGGCCAGAGCCTTCTTAGGCTGGATTTTCGCACCGCTCAATAGGAGGGCCGAACGTTCCTTGCCAAAGATCGCCTGGACCACAAACTCGGGCACATTGAAGATGCAGGGTCGGTTCAGTGCGCTGGCAAAGGCCTGAGAAGAGATCAGATAGGATTGCCATTAGTTATAGGTCAAATAGGATCCCAGAATAGTAAACGCTTACCTTGGAGAATTCCTTGCTAGTTACTATCTCTGGAGCAACGCCATTGAACACGCCCGACTCGCACTTCTCTATGATGTGCTGTATAAGACTGCAAAGGTCCAGCATGTGAATCCACGGCATGATCTGCTGGCCAGTGCCTAGGGGACCGCCAACGCCCAGCTTGAAGGGCAACCAGATTGACTCAATCATACCGCCGCCAAGTCCAACCACAGCTCCCGTACGCACTATGGCCTGGAAGAGAACAATATTGTATTAAAATGATTATAGAGTTCTCTGCTCACTCACAGTCCTACAGTTCTGCTCGCCTCCAGCATGTGCCGCCTCCTCCCAAGCCAGGCACAGTCTGGACATGTAGTCGAAGCCCTCGACCTTATCGTCCTCTGTGTAGATCTTCGTGGCGGATGGCGGGTAAGAGCTCACGCCGCAGAGATTCACAAAGGAGGTGACCTGAGGGGCAGCGGTCAGGGCATTGGCCAGAGCCTTGGACGAGTTGATGCGAGAGTTCCACACGTTCTGCTGGAAGCCGGGCGTCCAGCGGCGTGACGGATCTAATACATTCTGGCCAGTGACATTGACCACGGAGTTCACACTGTTCGGTATGCCGTTCTTCTCCAGCTCGTGCCAGGTGATGCGCTTGGGCCCGGGCATGCGGGAAATTACCGTCACATCATAGCCCTTAAGGGTCAAGTGCTTCGACAGGTTCTTGCCAATGAAGCCCGTGCCGCCACCTGACAGCAGGATAAGCGAGAACGGCGATTAATTCACCTGGCTCCAGTCCTGGGTACCACACTGAACGTACCTATCAACGTGTGCTTGGACATTTGCGGCTATTATTTAAATTCTTAAGAATTCTCCCAAGTTACGACACAAAAAACAGCTGATCTGACCACGGATTTATTTATATACCTATACCGTCTTATTTTGTAAATATACTGACGAATTCAAGATCTATTTTACATATTCCTCGTTTTTGATCTTCCGTCGAATATTACCAGCTATATAGAACATTTAGCCAAGCCCACATAATTTTAGCCCATTGATGAATCAATTTTCTACAAGATTGGATAGTTTTTAATCCTTGCTTTTATTGGATTTTGTGTAAAAAGAGGTTTAAACGGAAAAGTTCGACAAAAAAAGAGTCATTATGTTGCGTGTAGACCTTTGTATACCCTATTTTGTTAATTTTATATGAAGATGAAACGTAATTTATTAAGATCTTTTGTCAAATTGATACTCTTTAGACATATTCAAGTACCTTATTAGTATCTTGTATATATTTATGTCGATCCTGATGCCTACGGAGCCTGGGGTGACAAACATATTCACAATTCTATAACATCCATTTGCCCCAGGGTATGTGTGCATGGAGTTAGCAACATTTGTGCATGGAATCAGCAACATTTGTGTGTGGAATGGGACTCATTGTTGCAATAGCGAAACTGCGGCGAATCGGGTATTGCCTATATTTCAAGCTATATAGATTTGCCCACTTAGCTTTATCCCATAGATAAATGCATTTTCTACAAGATTGCTTCTTTTAATTACCTTAATGTATTTTATTTTGACCAAAAAACGTTTTTCAAGTAAAAGTTGCCGCAACATTTGTGTATGGAATGAGACTCATTGTTGCTAAAGCGAATTGGGGTGAAATGCGGCGAACTGCGGCGAATTGCGGCGAATTCAAATTTTCTCATATTCTTTGTTCCGTTGAATAGTACTATCTATATGGAACATTTAGCCATGCCCACTCAATTTTATTCGATTGATGAATCAATTCTATACATGATTGGCCTATTCAAAATACTTGCATTTATCGGATTTTTATATAAAATTGAAAATTTAATTAATATATTGATGAAATTTACAAAAATACCATGGGAGCGCGGCGAAAACCAGTATTTCTACAGTATGACCCTCAGAACATCACCGAAATATACGGTCTCATTTGAAAAATATACCGAGTGGTGCGCGCCAAATCGAACTTTTTTGAATGTGAGCTCCCGGTTATGGTTGCAGCTCGGATTCGTCCATCGTGGCGCGGCTTATGGAGTCCGAGGCGACTCTGTTCAAGTAATGCACCCGCGACGCGTCTCGAGGACGAGGGAACGCGGCTTCTCCACCCCCCTTCCACAAAGCACGACGGCTGCCATCCACGCGGGTGATCTCGATGAGATGAGCCTCCGCATCGGACCGACGCGAGAACATGCCCCATTCCCCACGTCTTTCCATCGCACCAGACGCCAGTTGCCGTTTTAGCCGAACAGCTGTTCACCCCCACCCCCAGTCCGCGGTCTGTTCTTCTTCTTCCTTTTGCTATGATTTTGCTATGATTTTGCTATGATTTTGCTGTGATTTTGCTGTGAATTCGTCTTCTTCTTCTTTTTTCCACGAAATTTTCATGTTTTAAAATACCACCGGAAAATACCGAATATTTCCCAAATTTTTTTTTTCAAAAAACGACCAATTCTTTGTTCCGTTGAATAATACTATCTATATAGAAGATTTAGCCATGCCCACTCAATTTTATACGATTGATGAATCAATTCTATACATGATTGGCCTATTCGAAATACTTGCATTTATTGGATTTCTATACCCTTTGAAAATGAAGTTTAATAGATTGTTGTTACCATTATATACCGATATACCGTAAATATACTGTCGGTTCATTTTTGTCCTAAAAAATATCGATACAAAGTATCGATTCAATTGTGCACTGTCCAGCACTGAGCTAATTCAAAAAATGAGGCGCGAAAACAATTTGTTGGCCGCCCCCCGGTAAGTGATCCAAAGTGCTCGCACTAGATCGTAAATTCGTATATGTGCCTCGATAATCTCTGTTCAGTCGCGTTCCCTGAGGCTTTTAGCGTCACACACCGTCGCCAAGTGACATTCAAAGTGCAACGATAAGCGAAATAAAGGGCATGCATTAAACTTAAATGGCCAGGCTCTTATCGCATGAGGCACTACGCTGAGCGTTTAAGGCACATGGTGGTGCAGCTGGAGGAGGTGGAGGAGCCCCAGCCTTAATAAAAGTGCAAATTTCGCATAAAATGCCTTTCACTCCATATGCACACAGAAACACACACAGAAGACTAGACGCATGTGGCTAAGTTAATGGTGGTCGACGGCGTCTAGCCACAGCAAGAGACGGCGATATAGATATGAGAAGAGAGAGGGAGAGAGAGAGAGGAGGAGACATGGCATTCGTTGCGAGGCAAGTTCAAGTGCAGCAGACAACATCCTTCCTTCCGTGGGTGTGCGGTGTTTTGTTTTCGGACCAAGTCATTGGAAACTCATTTGCATACACAGTGGCGGCATTAACCGACGCTTCGGGTCGGCGATACTGCAATAAAGGGGTTGACACTACTTTCTCCACCGCCCCACATCCACCCTGGATGTGGATGTGGGCGTGGCGCCTGGTGGCTGCCGGCTGGCGTTGCCTTTGAACCATTTTGGGAGAAAGAATTTGCATTAAGCGCAGCAATTATTGCGCTTCATTGAGTGCGAATGAAAAGGGACAACGGATGGGAAAAGGACCATAATTACAGGGTCCTGGGACCATTCTTATCTAGCCCTGCAATCAGGCCAGCAAGCACGTACTGCCAACTGAAAAACGTCCAAAGAGCGTGCATAGCTGACAGTCATCACCATCGAACGATTCCGGGGATCCATTTAATGAGTTTCATCTTCTATAGTGCTTTAATTTTCCGCTCTAACCAGAGATGTAGGAGCTGCTGACACTTGTCACTGACACTGATAACCAATGGAGGGAGAAAGGGGGGAAAACTTTCCAGACAAAAGAAAAATATGATTGCTTATGAAAAGGATCGGCACACGGAGACGAGACAACGAAAAAGTTGTCTTCTCTTCTGTGTTGCTGTTTGAGTTGCACTTCCGGTGGCGGTGGTGAAGTGTGCCCAATACCAATACCAGTGCCAGTGCCAGTGCCAGTGCCCATGCAGATGTGCTGCAGATACAGATACACGCGTGTATCTCTGCAAATATACATTCGCATCGCATCGACTGAGTGGGGGTGGGGGCTGGACAAACTTCTTTGTTTGTTTTATTGACAAACAGACAGCTTGTCTGCAGCATACTCCTTCCTCTTGGTGCTCCTGCTGCTGCTACTCCTCGTATCACTAACAAAGTTACAAAGTCAATGGCACAACATGGACAAATATCCGAATATGCATCCAATAAAGGCAGTGCACCCACACCCACAATGGGCCCTCATCGCTGGTAGCATGATTTGTGCAGCATGTGGGCGATGAAGGGGTCTGTCTCGCTTCCACTGCATCTCCATATTGACACTCTACTGACTCCGCACAGACTTTGACAGTTTTATGTGCGGTGGAGAGTGTTGAATGTTGGTGTCTCTTCGGCTTCTCTTCTTTTTTTTTGCGTCTTTTGCGGTTTGTCTGGCGAGGATTAGCCAGAGCTACATGACCTGACAGTTGGTCACTTCAGTTGCTGGATATTTCTGCTGCACATAACATAAAACTTAATTCTGTCATAATTACGATGTGGCTAACAAGTTTTGCATGTTTGTTGGCCCGAATGAAAGGCCAGGCCCCATCTCCTTGGGCTTATGCAACTTGAATGCAGCTGGCTTTCTGTATGTTTTAAATAATTGAAAAGCCCCAGCAGAATGGAAAAAAGTTCGTGTCAATGTCGGGCTGCTCACAAAGTTTTTCCCTGGTTGGAAAGTTTCGTTGATTGCTCTTGACTTTAATTGAAATTTGGCCAGGCCGGGCCGGCTAATTGGCAGAGCACCAATTCGTGTGGGGTTATCTCCCTATCAGTTTACACGGAGGACTCGTCTCACCCACCCTCTGAAAATTGGTCCAGCATAATTGAATTTCGCATTCCTTTCCACATTGACCTGGCCGAAGCAACTTTCTGACCCCGCCATGGGTTTTTTTTTTTTTTTTTTTTTTGCGACGCGGCCTGCAGTTCTTTTTGTTCAGAGTTTTTGCGACTTCTTTTTTTTGAGGAAAGTTCAAAAGCATCATAAACAATCTGTGGGGCAAACATATAGCGCAGACGATTTGTCTGCCACAAAGCCAAAACTGGGTCAGACGAAGCGGCGACGCCGCCAAAAGATTGCTGTCGTCGCAGACATCGTCGTCTTGGTGGTCTGGTCTGCCATCCTCAGCCTCAGCCCCGGTCTCCGTCTCCATCCCATACCCATTCATTCCGTTCCCATTGATGACGTGGCAGAGGTTGTGCGAGCTCCGCGAGTGTGCTCCCTGAGGTAAGGAAAACAAATAAAGTGACAATTCCAAGAGCAAGTCAGAAATGTGGGTCAAAAGTCGTCGTGCGCCCGTTAGGGCTATCAATTTTTACAGCTTTTGCAAAACAAAATTACACTTAATGTGTTTTCGGGAAGCTGTTTTCCGCTGACTTTTCCCCTCCCCCAACCCCCCACGCATCCTGTGTGTGAGTGTGTGCGCCGCCCTAATGATTCTCAGTCAAATGCAGAAGTTCCGCCTTAAATAAGATGTCCAAACAGCTTTATTTCCACTCTCAGCAGCACTTCAAAGGGCAGCACCCTGCCAAGCGGATGGGAGGAGAGTGCTGATGCTGATTAAAAGGATCTGGATCTGGGTCTGGCCAGCTCTGACAGTTGAGATCACCCGGAGAGCAGATCAAAGGCAGCTATAGTTGATGGCGATGGAGATTCTTGGCAGAGTTTTCCCCCTGTGGCATAGACTCGTAAATAATGCAGTCGCATAACAATTAATGGAAAATTGAATTACTATTCATGCCATTCAGATGCTCCTCACCTACTTTCCCAGAGCCAAACTTGTTAGCCATCAATATAGCCGATAGCCACAAACGGTGGCTCCGACTCCGACTGCGGCTGCACCTGCAATGCTGCAAGACTGGCTGTCGGCGATATCGATGTGTACATGGATTGCCATACAAATGGAGTTACTTTTACCGCCCCACACTCTCGCGCTCGCTCCTCCACTGAACCGCTCACAGAAGGAGACGTGTGCACTGCAGTGAGGGGTTGGGGTTGAGGCAGTCGAAGGTCCACCAGGGCGGCCTCCTAATTGAGCTGCACTTTCAATTGCAGCAAGCAGAACCCGGTCGTCATCAATCAAAAGCTGCCAGCCAAAAGGGAGCAGCAGCGGGCTCCTGGCCAAGCAAATTGCATGGCATCCTGGCAAATTGTCGCTAAACATGTCGCTGGCAGCTGAACAGCTGCTGCTCACAGAAATCCTTGTAAATTACTTTAATTATTTAACAATTTTTATATCATGTTTAAGTGACAAACCTTCTCTCTCTCTCCCTGCGATCCTGTCCTGGCGGCAGGTGAACAGCAACTATTCACACCTGCACTGACCCGGCCCCGGTTCCGACCTGGGTGGAGGGGGAGAACGGAATGCAGGAGACCTAAAATTAATTAGGCTTTTAATATTTATGCTTTTTATGTTTTGCATTTGGTGGCGACAGGCCGCCAAGGACACGGGACTCACTCCTTGGCAGGATTCAGGTTCGTGCATGCGGCCAATTAATAAGACAGAAATGTGACCGTAAATATCCCCTCAGCTCCAGCGTCGCTCGAGACATTGAGAAAAAGGGTGAAAGATTCATATCTGTGTTATAGGCGAACCCGCCTCGAATTTCCATACAAACCTGGAGGCCCATTGGGGGTGGCATTTTCCAATATCCTTTCGTTTGTGTGCGCCTACAACTCTCGTACAAAGAGTACTCTGAATGTAGAAATGTCAGCGGAAAGCACAGTCAAGTCGGACACGACGCTTCCACAAATTGAATGTCGGTCTCTGTATGGCAGCGGGGCTTCGCTTTCAACATCCATTCAACTTTCTGTCTCGTTGGGGCCTCCAGCGGCCTGCTGATGCTATTCTTCATCCCCATCATCCGACTGACAGCGTCAGAAATAAGTTATTCCTCCTATTGAAAGCAACCAACACAATTCCTAAAGCCATTGCACGCAGAATACAAAAAAAAATTGCACTGGAACGCCACCAATACTCTTTTTCCCACAAAAAAGCATCGATCGAGATCCGATAATTATAATAAGTAACTATTTCCTTGCACAGCAAGCTGCTTATACCGTTTGTAATACTTTTTCAGGCAGAGTATGATCATAAATAAGCAGAAAGAGACTTTCACTTCGGCTATCGATACACAACAATCGTTGCAATCGACTCTGCAGCACACTGAAAACCGAAATTAGCGAACCGCAAACAAGACTTCAAATTACCTGCACATTCATTCCAAATCAGATACAAGCCAATCCATTCGCACCAGCCTGTCAGTTTCTGGCGAGGATGGTGACGAAGGAGGAGGAGGAGCAATCACAGGCAGAGCTTGAGAAAGGGTATCGATTGCAATCGACAGTTGCATTGGACGTGAGGACCACAAAGACAGAGAGAGAGAGAGAGAGATTAACTGCAATCAAGGTATAATTATGGAGGGTAAGGCATTCCCGCCCTCTCTCTTGTTCGATCGCTTTCTGCGATCTGGCAGTAGCCGCACCTCGTATTTATAAACTTTGAATGCAACGAGCCGCACATCCGCATCTCCTGGTGGCGTGGCACACTTCCAATGGCACTCAGTCTGCCTCTGCTGGCGGGCCCTAATTAAAATGCAACATAAAGAAACATAAGCAATGATAAATTGGCAAAGTCGGGGGGGCGGGGGGACGGGGGTACGCAACGGAAATGTGCGTTAATCCAATTAAACGGGCGATTTGCATGGGGCCCAACTATACGAATGTTGTTCATTTAAATTGGAAGCACTTCTAAAGGAGCTGCAGCTGCTGCAGTTTCCCGGCCCGGAGTTGTAGCCAGTAGCCACTTGAGTTCCGGATTTGGGACAATGTCCTGGCGGACCGTCTGGGCTGTTTCGTTTGTTTTGGCCGCCCGTTTCTTTGTTCGTGTTGCTTAGACCCCGGGGCAGTGTTGTTCCGTACGGAACAGTGGAGCAGACTGTGCTGTGCCGTGCACCGCCATGTAAACATGTCCATTAAGCAGCAGCGATTTGAACAAATCAAAGTCAGCAGCAGGCAAATGGGGCTCCTTGTGGCACGTGCCGGGACGGATGATAACATGGAAACATCCAGATACGAGTACTTGCAAATAAACTGCAACGTAATGCGGCCCATTGTAGCAGCGCAAACAGTGTGTAGCCGCCACCCCGGGGAGCAATATCCATCCAACCAGAGCGACAGAGAGAGAGAGAGAGAGGGGGGGGGCAGATGGGGACTAGGACTCTACCCTCGTGAAAAGTTTAACTTGTTCAATTTGCATGAGTCGCGGCCAAAACGTATAAACGATACTTTGCTTAAAAACTTTGCCCATAAAGCAGCAGCAGCAACAACAACGACAAAAACAGAGCTGACAACAGGCGAAAGAGAAGACACATGGACAAAAGGAATAATGGGCACGCGTCCTTTATCCCCGGCACGACACACATTCGGTTTGGTCCACTCCACCCCGTCCGTTGGCTTTTAAGCCGCCACCAAAGCAAATAGACACGTGCGCCGCAGGCTAAGGGGCGAAAGACTGCTCGAGAGGGGGGGCCGGAGAGATGGGGTTGTCAGAAGGTGAGTTCTGGGGGGGAAAATGTTGTTGATGGATTGTTTACAGAAACTCGAGTCCTTTGAAAACGGTTTCTAATCGCCATTCGGTCGTCTTGCAGGGCTTCTCCGTTGACCTTGTGGACTGCAGGCCCCCTCGTTCAGGGATGGAATGGAACATTTGCATACCATAGAATCGAATCACTTGCTGTGGAGTCTCCGTGTACCGCCTGCGGTGATTTCGGTGTGACAATTAATTTTGTGCAGCTCATTAGGCTGGAGTACACTTCTCGGGGAGGAAGAAAATATGGATTTGAAAATACCCATTTTGGCTTTATGGCACTACAAATTGGGGTTAATGGCTTGGCTCTCTGGTCCTCAAATGGTGTTACATAGTTGGGGTGCATAAAAGGTAATGGTTCCGCCAGATAGCTAATATCTTCTCAAGTGGCGTGAGATGGGAACGGAACCCTTCTTATGACAAGGTGTGTGTGTGTGTGTGTGATGGGCTGGCAACCCTACCCACAGCTGATTTCCAGTGCAACTCTGGTTACGAAAAAGCAGCGTCACTATTTTTTTTTTCGCAATGGAGGCAGCTTCAACGTCGCACAAAAAGCTACCAAAGAAGAATGAATTGACCAAGAAGAGAGCTTCTAGGTGGAAAAAGCATTCGCTTTCTTTGGTGGAAATTCAAAGGGAAGAGGAGGAGGAGGAGGAGGAGGCCAAGGGCCGATCTGACGCTGAGACTGTGACTGCGGCCGAGGGTGACAGCGATGACGGCGAGTCGGGACAACAGGAGGCCAGTGGCGTCAGCTCCATCATTGCTGAAATGAAGGAGAAGGACGAGGAAGAAGCGGACGAGAACGCCAAGGCAGGATTTACTGAGGAGGACGTCAAGACCATGGAGGGTGAGCAGCACAAAGGTTAGCAAAGGTGATTAAAGCACTTATTGTGTGTGGTGTATATTTTCCCCAGAACTGAGTCGCATGCCCCTCGCCTCCATGGCCGCCCACATCCAGGCCATGGACTCGCAGCTGTACGAATTGAGTCAGCTCGAGACCCGTGAGCTGTCCCGCAGCAAGCACCTGCGCGTCTTCTCCAACTACCGCCGCCGCAGCAAGTGAACGGGACGGCAAATCATCTAAATCATCTACTTACACAGCTGTGCGGACTTTGATGGTATCGAATAAATGGTTGTCAGTGAAAGTATTCCTCTCGCATCCCGCATCCCGCACTGACTGCATAGCATAGCATAGCTCCTCGAGTCACGAGGAAGAGTCAAAGCCAAAGTCGCATGAAATCCGCTTATAGGGAGGGCTTAATTTCTCGAAATGGACATCCGCCCACGACTCCACCTCGTCTAGGTTTATTTGCTGGCCAAACACGCAAATGCACATCGAATGACGGCGCAACCCCATCCCCCAGGCCAAGGTCTGCCTCTGGGATTGGGCATTAATCGTGCATTAGAGTCTGGCTAGAGGCATGTGAGACCATGTCCATGCTGTGCCATCCGCTAGGGGGCCCAGAGACCCACAGACCCAGGGCTTCCTGTGCGCTTAGCGGACTCTCTCCTTTGTCTTCCGTAGTTTTGGGTTCGGAGTTCGGTTTCCGACTGCCCTGTGGGGCGGCTGGGATTCCCCGGGTAACTCTATTCAACGCAAATAGTCGCCAGTTTATCACATGGATTTGTGCTAATTTTTCCATTTCCTCGCTGGCTTGGGATCCCGCTCGGAGTTTGGACAGCACTCGGATTTCCCCCTTTGCAAGCCAGCACAGAGTGTTCTTAAGTTGATTAAATTTCAAGCGATTTGATTCGATTTTCAATTATACGAACACCGAATGCCTCAAATCCATTATGCTAAATAAATACCAACTCCATCTACGTCCTCCTCTGTTGCTTTTGCGTGTCAGTTATCAGAGTATCCCCCCCACCAAAAAAAAAGAACTCGGGGAAATCCCTCGGATGTTTTTGGGGGAGTCTGTCTGGCTGTCTGTCTGTCCTTCAGCTTTTTGATTCCCGTGCAAACAACTTCCTGCCTAACCCCTTGTGACTCCCTGTCCCTGTCTGTCTGTCTGTCTGTCTGGATGTCTGGATGTTTGCCATGTCGTCGGAGGAGTAGTATGATGATGCAGTCAGTGGCCTTCTCCACCTCATTGTTGTCGTCGTTGTCGCTTGGTGGTTGCGGGTGCAAATGTTCATCAGCTTCAAAGGGATTCCTCATCGTCGTCGTTTTTGGTGATTTGGGGTTTGTCAAAACACGGCATTACCCACACTCTCCGTCATCCCCATCCCCAACCCCATCCCACCCCCAACTACAGTTGAATGCAACATGTGTCCAGGATTTGCGTCTGTTAATTTCCACCCCCCACAAAGGCAGAAGATAGCTCAAGGGTGGAACACGCCGCTCCGCCTAATAGAATATGCTCATTACGGGATTCCGCGCTGAGTGTGTTTCGGTGTTTTCAGGCATAACTCAAACTAAATTATTATAAATGAATTCATAATCCTTCCGCCTAGCCAATGGCATAGTTACGTTATGTGTATGTGTGTCCAAGGGGGAGATTTTCTTCTGAATGAATGATAAATATGCAAATACAAGAAGTCCTCGAGAGCGTGAAAGGATTCGCCATTTGCCAGAGAGACAGAGGCGAACACTGATTGAATTTACTGCGTAGATTTTATGAATGGAGGCGGGGATATAAAAGGTCTATAAAAGGGTCTACAAACTATGTATAGAATCTTTGGATGTTTATAAGCCATAGAATGTGATTTGAATGGGGAATGTTATGATTGATGATTTAAGCTATTTAATGAATGAATTATCTCCTGAAAAGAGTCAAAGATTGGATAAAGTCAGTTGTATTTAATGGAAAATCTAATTAGTATATAGCATTCTTCCGTATGTACCCCTACTTCTTACATTTATTCAGATGTACAATGCACCCTGCCTTATAATATAGTCTCGTACCGCACTGTACTGTGTGTGGGCTGTGCGAAGAAAGATGTTTTGCCTGGGAGTGCATTTAATTACCTGCCCCAAAGCGACCGCAGCATACATCTAATTATAGTTAAGTGCCAGGGATAGGGACTGCCACATATTGTATGTTAATTTATGCAAATCTCATCACAAATCATATCAATTTCGCTGGCAGTTAATTGCAGCAGCAGGTGCCTCCCCCATTTGCCCACTCCACCACGCTGCCGCTCCCCGGCTATGTGTTGACTGTGGAAAAAGAGCATTAAATTGGCAAAAATGCAGCATAAATTTCACACAGAAACAGAGCGAGCGATGGGGCCAAAGTGCGTTCCCATAGCAAATGGCTGGGCGCCATTGTCTTCTGCCACTGGATGGGGCAGACACAAAGGAAGACCCAGCAATGTCTGCGCCACCAAGTTCGCTCAACTCTGCCACACACAGATGCACCCAGCAGCAGAAATGGCAACAGAAGGAGGAGGAGGAGGAGTACGGGTACGGGCAATCCTCCTAAGCAAGACAAAGGATAAAGGGATCCTATTTTGAACTGTTTATCAAAACACAAGTCGGAGTCATCTTTGGTGTTAATGTTTCTTAGTTGTTTGTCGTGTGGCAGGGAGTTGTCTCACCTGATATATCCTACCATCTACCATCTACCACCTACCATTTTCTCTTCCCTTGGAGGTCGTTTCTGTTCAAATATTCCATTGGAATGGCTCACTTGGGCCCAGTTTTTGACGAGCTCCATCTCTTTCCTCCTTTCCTCTTTCCTGGGGGTAGGTTAAAAAACTCATTAGGCGAATCCTTGGGCGACGGAAATTAAATAAAACCCCATTAGGCGCTCTATTTGCTTCCCTGTCGGGAATGGGGGATGGTGGGCCGACTGACTGGGGACCGCTCCACACTTAATTTATGGCCACGCATTTCGTTCTCGTTCCGACATTTCAGCACAGAACAAAATCTAATTATGATAGATAGTTCCAACCGAACTACGAGTGTACGTACCTACCCTCCCTCTTCAGGGCATGTGGGGCGGGATGGGGGCGCTGCAACGGAGAGGCAGGAGGCGACTGTGTCGTGCAGGTGCATTCTGTCACTATATGGCCGCTGCCGGGTGTCAACCGCAGATCTGCCTTAATAAAGATGGGAGATGTGTGCCGCCCCATGGTGTGGTGCACTGCCTCTCGGAAGGGGGCGTCGTCACATCTATATCTTAACACATTGCTGATCAAAAGAATCCGAAAATGCTTTGATTTCACAGCTCTCTTTTTGAGTCTTTTTCGACTTCCGCATATGGTCCACGCGCCACCTCCTGGAGGACTGGGTTGGAGAAACCGAAACGAAATTAAATTTTCTGCCAACAATTTGGTAAATGTTAACTTTGCTAATTTGCATAGACCGCAGTACACCAGGAAAACCCCAAAAAGCAACCCCAAAAAATGGTAACAGCAGCAGCTACGAGTATTCAAGGAAAACAGCGGGGGAATGCAACATTTTGGAGGGTTTGGTTTGGGGCATTCGGCGTTCGTTCGGTTCTGCCGGAACTCACTTTCACTGCCACAATGTCTGCCCCTTGTAATCCCCAACAAACGCCGCCAGACACGTGCAATTTGTGTGAGTATCTGTGTGTGTCGGTGTGTGTTTGTTGGAGTGCAGACAGGACGAAGAAAAGGACTTCCAAGACCAGACCGTGAACAGACCCGACCCCACGCCCGTTGCTTTGCCACAAATTGTAATGCAATGCCGGCAGGACTGTTGCTACTGCTACCCCGCAGTGGAAAAGGAAGTGTATGCGATAATGATGGATTGTTTACAACAATGCAAAGGTCCTGTGGCAGACGTCCTGCCACACACACACCGCCCCTGCCCCTCTGTTGCAGGGTGTGCATTTAAGCGTGTCTCCATTGTGAATTTTGAATAAGTTTTTGGCTAAATGATTTGATTACTATGCCTCAGCGAGAGGGGGTGAGGGAAGGGCTGCCGCCGCAGTTGCCCTCTAATGAGCGCTGGCCGGGGGGGTGGGAGGTTGGGTTTTGTCGCGTTTTTTCTACGATGAATAGCAAAAAGAAACGGTTCTCCACCAGCCAACGGCAGTTGGAGACTTTTCGAGCGCCGTATACACCCGTCTCGCTTTTCTACACACTATACATAAGTATGTATGTATGTCGCCCTCACGCAAACAGCTGTTGGCTTGCGGCGAAATTGAGTCTCATCCATTCTCCATTCACTCTCTTTCCAGCAGAACAGAGCCAATAGTGTATTGAAACTTCCATACTCAACAAAAGACACCCTCTCGGAACCGGTTTACAAGCAACAACAGAGACAGAGACAGAGACCCGAGAGCGCAATAGTCGCCAGCCGACGCTCACTCGTTTCGTTTCACGAACGACTTCATACGTCACAACGTCGCCGTTATTTGAACCGAGCAGTTGTTGCGCGCGCGAGATAAACAATTAAAAAAAAAACCCAAAAATTCGCTAAAATGCACGTATAGAGCGTACTTGGTGATGACCCGTTCTATGGTTTAACAATTACTGCCAGTGTCAGTGCAACGAAACGAAGAAATACAAAATATTTATCAAAATACAACTAAAAATCGAAAACTTGTATCAAATATTTTGTGTTTGAGTGGTGTTTTTGCGGCAGCGGCAGATAATTTAGCGCTTTTTGTGCACAAAAAAAAGTGCAGTATTCGAAACGTGGCCACAAGCGGCAGGCACAAAAACAAAGCGGCTAAAAAACGCACGCACACACACACAGAAACACCTGCTGCCGTTCGCCGGTTGTTCGCCAAAAGCAACGATAAATAAAAGAAAAAGGAAAAATAAAAGAAAAGTGTAAGCCAGAGAGAGAGAGAGAGAGAGATTTCTGTTGTGATTGTTTTCCCGTTCATTTGCCGCTGGATCCGTCGTTAGAAGAGTAAGTTGCTGTTATCTGCAGCTATTGGACAAGTTCAATGACTTAATGCCAGACTTAATGAGTTTTCACCCTTTAACCCCTGCCAATGGCCCTGCTACCACCGTTGGTGCTGCCGCTGCTCTGCTGATAACAATGGCCCAGCGCCAGGCGACAAAAACCCCATTTACATATAATTATCTCGCTCCCCTCCCCAACTAGTCTCGCCACCAATAATATGTTAATTTGAGCAGCTGTAGGCGCCTCTCCTAAAAGGTTCTTTCTGTTCGCGTTTTGTTCCCTAAATGATGAACTTGTCAAATGCTCGATGATTGCCGT